TCGTCTTCGTCTTCGTCTTCGTCTTCGTCTTCGTCTTCGTCTTCGTCTTCGTCTTCGTCTTCGTCTTCGTCTTCGTCTTCGTCTTCTGCCGCCGCCGCTGCTGCTCCTTTTGCGCCTGCTCCTGCTTCTTTGTCTTCGTCTTCGTCTTCGTCTTCGTCTTCGTCTTCGTCTGCGGCTGCTGCTCCGTCTTCTTCTTCTTCTTCTTCTTCTTCTTCTTCTTATGACGATGATGATGATGACGATGATGATGATCATGGTCTCCCTTTTCCTCCTCTCACTGATATACTTTGAGTGGCTATGTCTACCATTGTTGAACTGAATGGACTTGGACTCTTAACCTCTTGGAGCAGCAATCTAGATGTGACATGTGTATCATTCTGCCACCAAGAAGGTACATCCTGGAATAATTTCAAGTCAGTGGATGCATGAACTTGTGAAATCGTGAGTGTATTTGCTGTGCTCGTCTACCAAGGAGGACTCAATGCACACCTTTTCTTTGTGAATACTGTTATCAGTGAGGGTGAACTCCCGAATCATTGACATGGCCAGTGAATGTCATCTTTCTTCATTATGTGACAGAAATTTGTGCAAAGAGGGCTGGACCAGGTCAAGGAGCTTGAAGAGCTAGAGAAGCTGGACCCGATCCCAACTCCTCCTGCAACCACTGCAGCGTACGCAGTAGGTGGTGCTATTCTCCCTGGAGTCTTCCCTTCTTTACAGCTCTCATGTCCTGTACTCGAAAGGAAACAAAAGAAAAGGGGTGGATGCTCCGGGCACTTGAAGCCAAACCTCCTCATGCGTCGGGAGCATTTTGAGTGGAAAAGTCGTAGACCTGTAGCATCTTCCGATCCTGTTCTCTACCCCATTTGCAGTCAAGGGACAGAGGTCTGTTAGTGCATGCTAGTAGGTACAAAACAATTTGAACTTCCAAACTTCTCGGTTAATCGTCCCCTCTTCTCTGCTGCGAGGGTTTAACCCTTGGCATAAGGCCCTGCAGCAGGCGCGTGCCCACCCTAAGTGAAGGCGGCCCCCCTGAACCCCGATGCACCCTGAGTTCGTCAATTTTTGCAAATCTTGGTGGGCGCCAGATAGTTGCCACGCGCCGCCAGTTGGTTACATCCGCTTTGCTCGTGAGAATTGGAAATATTCGTGAGCCTTCCAGGCTCTTCCGCCAATGTGTCGAGACAGGGAGCACCACACATTTGTGCCTCCTGGGTGGTTGGGCATGCCTAACCAAATTGATCCCAGGCCACAGTCGGAATCGGGCCTGGGCGCAGACACTTCGGCCGAGACTGAAGCTACTGGAAACTCGGTCTCACGGGGCAAGGAAGTGGGATGCGCCCGCCACTTTCCATGTAGGAAAGGGGTCGGGCTCCCGCATGGGGATCGGGCACTTGGTAGAGCGTGTGGCAGCGCTGGTGGAGCGAGCACTCGTGTGCTGCTGCTAGCCCCAGTGCAGAAGTGCGCGCGTGCGATCATGCGAGAGGCAGGGCGCTGCTGAGGCCAGCGCCATAGCCCAGCCCATGTATCCGGGCTTGGGCTTGGATAGCCAGCGGGAGGTCGTGGTGGTCTTCGTGTATGAGGGAGAAGACGTGGGTGTAGAATTCGAGGGTGAGAGAGAAAGGGAGACGAGGATGATGATGTGAGGGCAAGTACCTGGTCTTGGCGATGGTCTACAAGGGTCGATGTCTTCATGTCCTTCGGTTGTGCTGCTGACGTCAACAGGATGCATTGTCGATTCGTAGGATGCTAGTAAGTTGTGTGATTGTAGTCGGGGCGCTGAGTGCCAAGGAGGAGGAAAGGGCTCTGGATACTTATGTTGGTGGTGGCGAGAGTATGCCCTCATTGACATTCGGATTCGGTGCTTTGGTTCCCCGTTGGTGATATTTCAGTGCATTTCTGCTTTCTGGACAGCGTTGGATTTCTGTCATTTCCCTATCGCTCATTTTCCTTGCACTGCTGGAAAAAAAAAAAGAGCCCAGTGCCAAGGCTTCAATTATAACATGGAATACAAAGATGATACTAGGGCGGCGGCAGGGCGATTACTAATATTAATACTAGTATATGATGATGAATGGCGATGGTTGCATGCTGTCCTTCGGGACATCCACTAGAATTGGAACGATACAAAGATGATTGCTATGGTCCTTGCGTATTGAAGGATGGCACACACATGTCGATAAACGGTCCCGAGTTTGGGAGATGACGACAAGGGTTGCATGCTTGAATCAGTGAGGTAGATGAAAGGGATATGGCTGTGTCTCCCTCACCTGAGAAAAGCAGGGTGTTTTCCAACATTGATGATACTTTTACTAGAATGAATGAAGTTCAATGAACCTCTTTTTCATTAACACAGTTACACAGTATCTGAGAAAAAATGACAGCCAGTGATGAAAAACTTCAGAAAAAGAGATAGATAGTAGATACTGATATCACTGAAAGTATCTTCCTTGCTTGTTGTTTTGCAGAAGGCCAACCGGGAGCTGAACATACTTAAGTTCAAGTACTCAGTTATGAAGGGAAACACACCGGATGCTATTGTGGACACTCTATCCACATACTTTGAGAGCCCAACAGACAAACTAATAGCGATAGCCGAGGCTCTTTGTGTATGTACTATGTACCAAGTACTACCAACCAACCTTTTTTTTTTTGGGGGGGGGGGTTCGAAACCACTGCTAGTATCAGTTCGGAAAATAGCGAGCGGGTGTCCGACCTTTCAGGAGGCCGAAACGAAACGAAACGAAACGAAACGAAACGAAACGAAACGAAACGAAACGAAACGAAACGACGGCCGCCGATTAGATTTGTCAATGGCAGCCGTTGTCGGGCCCGGCTTCTGAATTCTTCGGGAACGGGCGTTTTCCCTCGTTTCTGAAGCGGAAATAGTACTACCTTCTTCCCCCGAATACAACGCACAGTCATTATAGCTGTATTTGGGGCATCTTTCAGTCTAAATACAGCTATAATGACCGTGCGTTGTCTTCGGGGGAAGAAGGTAGTGGTCTAAGACTTGCTTGCCTTCACAACCCTTTATTACAGAATGAGTACGTTTTCACTACCCTTTACTACAGAATGATTACCTCTTTTTTTTTTTCTTTTTTTTTTTTGTTTCCCAACAGTGCCAACACACACACACACACACACACACACACACACACACACACACACACACACACACACAGACACACACACACACGCACACACACACACACACACACACACACAGCCCCGTTCTATTCTGGGGGGCGCCAGTGCGGTTTCTTTTCCTCGGCAAGCCAAAAGGCCCAAAATGTACAATATTAACAGTTCTCATGGGCCCCAAGAAAGCGGGGGGGGGGAGGGGAGGCCGTTGTGTAAACAACTGGGAGACTCCCATTGGTTACCCAGACGCTGCCCAGCAAGCCGCTCCTCCTACTTCCCCCCTTCCCGCCAATTCATGCCCCTTATTCATCCTGCCATCCTCCCGTTTCCCCTACTCCTATCCTAACCCCCCTCTGCACGCGTCTCCTGTTCACTCTCCTGCTTACTCGCAGTTATTCTCCGCCGATCCAGCAGATGATGCTCAATCCAAAATCATTCTCGTAGCTTCGTTCTCCTGACCTGTGCTATATTTTGTACGTTACTCACCACTCGGCTTCCCTTGTCATACCTTCTTGATTCATAATACCATCCTGTCCAATCAACCTTACTTGTTGGCCCGCCGGCCCAGTTCACATTACAATTTACAACCCCTTACTACAGAATGATTACCTCACACTATCAAGAAGAAAGAGCGATGGTTTCTGCAAACCCTCCTCGGACAACAGGTCAATCACCTCTACTGTCTGTCGTCACCCGAATAGAAGGCCCAGTGCTTATGGCTGTATTTAGTGCAAATTTCAGTCCAGATGCAGCAGAAATTATGGGGGAAAAGGGGGGGGGGGGGGCGCATTCTATTCAGGTGATGACCGTAGTGCAGCCACAGCAGGTTCTGTGGATGGTTGTGTCAGGTGATAGCCCCGTAACCTGGACGTGACCCACTGTGGCAACCAGGGGCGATATTCAGCTTTGGTAATGAGGCGGTAATAAGGCAGTGATGGTGTGGTGACCTGCTGCGCAGGTGTGGTAACGCGCTGGTAACTGGGCATGGTAACCAGGTGTGGTAAATACTAATCAGGCATGGTAACTGGCGCATTGGTAACCAGGCCCAGTTACCAGCGCGTTACCACACCTGCTTACAATGCCCAGTTACCAGGCCTGTTTACCTTCCCCATGGTAACGCGTTGGTAACTGGGCATGGTAACCAGGCATGGTAACCAGGCATGGTAACTGGCGTGTTGGTAATTGGGCATGGTAACCAGTTACCAGGCCTGTTTACCTTCCCCATGGTAACGCGTTGGTAACTGGTCATGGTAACCGGGCATGGTAACTGGCGCGTTGGTAATTGGGCATGGTAACCAGGCCCAGTTACCAATGCGTTACCACACCTGTTTACAATCCTGGTTACCATGCCTGTTTACCACGCCATGGTAACGTGTGGTAACTGGGCATGGCAGCCAGGTGTGGTAAACAGGCACGGTAACCAGGATTGTATCCTTTTTTCGATGCAGACATTTTAGCAGTTACTCAAATTCTTATATATGTAGGAGCTATTAACGTATATTAATTTAATTCTGTCATTATGTTAATAAGTTTACCTAGATCATCCACATTTAGTTTATATTTTCCTAAACAAAGTGACATTTCTGCTTTTGCTTGCATAAGCTTATTTCACGTTTTTTGTATTGCTTGTCAAAATTATTCTACAAACACCTTGGTCAACTCAATCTTCCTACATAGTACATTCTATTAATCAGGCATGCTAGCCAGGTGTGGTAATTACTAATTAGTAATTACTAATTAGTAATTAGTAATTACTAATCAGGTGTGTTGTTAACCGGATACGGTAACCAGGGTGCTAAGTCGACGTGGTAATCAGATATCGTGAGCAGGCATAGTAACCAGGTGATAACCAACCAGTAACCAATTGTGATAACCAGGTGTGGTAAAAACCAGGTGTGATAACCAGGTATGGTAAAAACCAGGTGTGGTAACCCGGTGTGGTTACAAGTCGGCAACCCTGTATGGTGACGATGTTTGCAATTGAGATGGTATGGTAACCATGTGCACTAACCCGGTGGGGTAAACGATTAGTTATGGTAACAAGGCAGGTGTGGCAACGAGGTGGTAAGTTTTTTATAACCTCTTTAAGTTTATAATAACTAAACTGAGTCAGCATCACAAGACTGCAGATGGTAACCAGATGTTGGGCAAACTTGGGGTTTTCATATCTCCGTCCCATTCTAAACGTATAATTGCCATTGGACCCCTCAAGGGCAGATCGGTCAATCCCCTGCCCGGGGGGGGGGGCATACACGGATACAGAAAGGGGATGGAAAGAAAGATGTGTCAGGGAGACTGGACCCGGTTTCCAGCAAGTGACACTCCCGAGTCCCGACCAATAATAGACAGGAGAAGCCAGGCAAGGGCTACTAATACGGGGAGTGGCTCATATCACTCCCACTTCCGTCTTCACCCGAATAGAACGCCTGGTAATTATCGCTGTATCTGGACTGGAAGTTGCCCCAAATACAGCTATAATGACTGGGCGTCCTATTCGGGTGAAGACTGTAGTAGCCTGGCCCAGTTTTCACAACAAAAAACAAACAAACAAAAAAACAAACAAACAAACAAACAAACAAACAAACAAACAAACAAACAAATAAATAAATAAACAACCGTGCAATCGTCCCCGTAAACGTCCAATTACTCTGTATCTGCGCTGTGCATTGGGTTGGAACTCGGTAGGGTTTCAATATCACCCACCCATTTTAAACGCCCAATCGCTTCATTTCTGCATGTTGCATCTTATGATCTCACACGGAAGCTTGAGAAGAAGAGAAGACGGAATGTCCGACTAGATACCTGGGGATCCAGGTTACAAAGGACGGTCCATCCACACAGATGGCCCAGAACCTCCTAGCCAACCAGATGAACAAAATGGGAAAATGGGGACAAACTTTCTCCTCATTAATGGGTAGAGCCCTCATCATAAATACCTCAATTTTCTCTATGATGTGGTACATAGCCCTCTATTTGGACAATACCCGATGATTCCATCAAAGATTTTAAAATTTAAACAGAAAAAGCTCGAGCCTTCCTATGGGCGGGCGACCCAAACAAAGAAAACTACATACCAAAGATCGCATAGCACTATATCAAACAGGAATCCCTCTGATGGATGGAGGTCTCGGAATCCTGGACCCCGGTCAAGAAAAGAAGGCCCTGCAAGTAAAATGGATTGAAAAGATCTTAAAACTAAACAATCACTGCCTTGGACCAGGATCGCCATAGAGCACGTTCACGCCCTAACACCAGGTGAAAATCCTCCGAAAAAGAAAACGTCTGCTGAGATAGACATAAAACTGATTGTGTGTGTGTGTGTGTGTGTGTGTGTGTGTGTGTGTGTGTGTGTGTGTGTGTGTGTGTGTGTGTGTGTGTGTGTAGGAGAGAGAGAGAGNCTTTCCAATGGTCTCAGCGACATGGCAGGATATTTCTGAGGGTTCATCAGAGAGATCAAGACCTGTCTCTTATACACATCTAGATGTGTATAAGAGACAGGTGTGTGTGTGTGTGTGTGTGTGTGTGTGTGTGTGTGTGTGTGTGTGTGTGGACGTATGAAGGGAGTAAGTAACGTCTGGCATCACGATAATTCAAGATAGGACTAATCAATCGCCTACTCGTTGATTCGTTGATACAATGATTGATTGATTGATTAGACGATCGATTGATTGATTGATTGATTGAGATTGATTGATTGATTGATTGATTGATTGATTGATTGATTGATTGATTGGTCAATGAAGCCGTGAGATTTTCCAACCGCATTCTTGCGATTGATTAATTGATTAATTGATTAATTGATTGATTGATTGATTGATTGATTGATTGATCAATGAAGCCATGCGATCGTACGATCTCATTCTTCTGATTGATTGATTGGTTGATTGGTTGATTAATTGATTGGCTGATTTTTCAGTGAAGCCGTGCTATCTTACGACCTCATTCTTCCGCTGACTGACCGATTTTCTCAGTCCTTGATACTAATCAATGCATTACGCATTACCGTCGTCGGATCACTGATTGATAACTAATCGATCCACACAGGCGACTGTAGATCACTAATTAATCTAATTCCAACGAGAGCAGAAGCACGACCAGAAGAAGAAAAGCAAAATGCAGGGATTCCCGAACGACCCGCTCGCAGAAGAACGACCAGAAGAAATGGCTACCAGAGCGACACAGAAGCAAAAAAAAACGTCAAGGAGGACATCGGAAGTGCAAGCATCTGCAGACAAGCAAGACAAATCGACGAAGAGAGAGAGAGAGAGAGAGAGAGAGAGAGAGAGAGAGAGAGAGAGAGAGAGAGAGAGAGAGAACCGATGAAGACAAGAGGACCGAAAGGAACCGACACAGAGAGAGAGAGAGAGAGAGAGAGAGAGAGAGAGAGAGAGAGAGAGAGAGAGAGAGAGAGAGAGAGAGAGAGAGAGAGACGAGCGTGGAAGAAGCTTACCTGGTTGCTGGTACCCATGAAGAAGAATCCAAGACTATAATGGACCGGCATTCTTCTGTCAATACTTCATTCCTTTGGCGCTGGATTTCTAGTAGGCCGGCCAGCGAGAGAGACTAGATTAACATGGGTTGGAGAGGCTAGAGAGAACATTCCTTCAATTTTTTTCCTTGTTGAGACAAAAGCCGCACGATCAGTGACGCGGCGTCCAAATGTGTGCTAAGTTGCTAACAAGGGGGTAAAGCCAGGGCTGCATTACCGGTTCCGAGGTGGACCATTTCCCCTTGACTTTGCTACATGATGAAGTGGCGGTGTGGCAGGTAGTCTGGGCAAGCAGGCAGTTTAGTCCATTTGCTCAAGGTAGGTTTCACTTCCATTGGCCTCCCACTGAGTCAATCCATTACATAGTCTATCTGCTCTTAGATTAGAAAATCCCAGCCTGAAGCATGCTCCGCGGGAAAGTACGCGCTGCTACGCGGTTTTACCGTTGTTTCAGGTCTGGAGAGTAATTGGGAATCAAGTTCAATCAACCGCGTACTTTCCTGTGGAACCAATAACAGTTTGATGAAGGAACAGTGCAGTGAGTGCAGTGCATTATTATACACTAATCCCAGTTTCTCATGGACAGGGGCCAGTTTGCAACGGTTTCCTCCTGGTAAGGTTGATTTTGAAATTGTCATGTGCTTCTTGCAGGATCCTGCCCGGCGGATCGTCAGGCACGCACCCTGTAGCGAAGATCAGCTCCCGATGTTTTCGGCAGCAGCACGACTGGTGAGGACTAGGCTAGCAGAGTGGCCCCGGGACCACTTGCCCGGCCGGGCCAAAAAATATTAAAATATAAATATATATATTTTAAAATATATATATATATACATAATATATATATTCTGTTTGTGACGATATATATCGTCACAAACAGAACTGCCTGGTAAACCGTAGGCAAAGAGAGAGAAGAGGACAACAAACGAGGGGCTGTATATATATATTGGTAAAAAATTATGATGTGACCCTGAGGCAAAAGTTGTTCAGTCACCCAAGAGCCTAGCTCAGTGGGTACACCCATGAACTGTTGAAACTTGAAATACAGACCTGTGTTCGAATCCAGATGATGGAACTTGATGAATAAAACCAACTGCAAATTTTCTTTTTTTTTTGTTTTGTGTTTTTTTTGGGATTCTTAAACCAGACAATGCATCCGAGCCTCTTTTCGCCGAGCTGGATTCCCCCTGTGAAGCCAAGCCTCGTCGAAATGCCCGCATGGCGCTTTTCTTTTCTTTTCGCTGGCGCTGCCCCAACATGCCATTTTGGTCCGGCAGCTCTGACCCCCCGAACTTTTCTTATTCGCTTCTCAAGTTTGCCTGGGCGATGTTCTGGCGGTTTGGTTTAGAAGCACCAACGCGGAAAGAAGGTGTTCAACTTTTCAAAAACTGCTTTTTCAGCACCAACGCGGTAGGATGACATCTAATCGTTACGATGGGTAGATAGTTACTAGATACTAGATTTATCCGAAAATGTCCGCTGAGTTTATTTACTACACGGGAGTCTAGAAATCTGACACGTGGTGATTTTCTCCCCCAGTCAAAAAGAAAAATGGAGATTCTCACCAACGGCGCAATGGGTCTATAGGTCAGTGGGTACACCCATGAACTGTTGAAATGCAGAGCCAAGTTGGAATCCACATGACGGAACCACAGGAATGAAATAAAGTAGATCTAAATTACCTGCGGCGGCGCAGCCGCTCAGTTCACGGACGATATCTCAAGGCCGTCACCCTAAAAAAAAAGAAAGGAAGCAGATTCTCTCCCGTATCCGTATATGCTGCTATGTTTCACCTGCTTCTGTTGTCCTTACCTTTGTGACCTTTCTTTAGAAGAAGTGCAAGGAAATGAGCAACACACACGAATGGCAATAAACCAGATTGCTGCATTCCGTAGAAATCCTCAAATAACTTTGAGACCGAACTGAAAGCAGATTGCAAACTGAGAAAACATCAAATAAGTACATGAGTAAAACATTGAAGTCAGATGATAATGAAAGCCCTCTTCTCGCCTCTCATCACCAATGTCAACAATGTAGCAGCTCTTCTACATTGGCGCTTGGCGCCCAGACTACAGACAGACAGCGCCTGTGACCTGGACACCTATCTACAACAGGTCCACCATGACGATCATCAGCACCGGGACGAATTAAGACTCCGAGTGAACGGTCTGCTTCTTCTCCACACCAGGTAAGTGCGTCGTCACACCGCTCTTCTCCCTGACTTCCTCCACAGTCCTCTCTGCCCAAGGACCTCCGCCTTCCTCCTTCGGCTATGGTCGCCAGCAGCCCGGTTATGGCAGCTGCGCCCTCCGGCTTCACTGCACCCAGCAGCTTCCGCACGCCCCACCTGCGCCCTTCTTCCCTCACGGTCTGGCGCTCATCCGCACGAGCAGCACTGCCGGGTCCAGCCAGCCCGAATGTCCCCAGTGAGCAAGGCTCACGTCCTTCTGTGCTGATTGGCTCGTAACCCTGGCTGGAACGTCTGCGCCCCTGTCCCAGTAGCAGCGCCCTGCGCCCGATCCAGAATCTGCACGGGGCTCAACTGTAAGGCCCTGGGTTTCAGCATCTTTGGCTGGGCCCCAGCATCGTCAACCAACCGAAGGTTGAGCTCTACTGGTTGTTTGGAGATGCTGCATGCAGCAACCAACCCACAGGGGTCCTGTAACAGAGTTTCCCTCTTGCCATGGTCCTGTAGTCCTATAAATTCTTAATGACTTGTTTATTTAGAGTCCTATAGATCATGGTGTGCGGACTGAAGTAACGCCAAGGCCAAAATTTGCAGACCCGCCTTGTCTTAGGGTTTAGGGTTTTTCTTCCAGCATGCCGAGGGCTCATTTCTTTGCACGACGAGTGTCAATCAATTTGCCCAGCCCAAGTGGCTGAACAGTACCCACATGTACCTGTTGATAAAAAGTTAAAAACAGTTTATGAGTTCGAAGTTCAAAACTTCGAACCCTGATGAAATTACTAAATAGTAAAATTAGATGGATACAATAATGCTAAAGAGGGTTTAACGCCTTTGACAAAGAAAAGAAAAGGTCCGACTGTGAGTATGCCCTGAAACTATCTTGTTGAATCTTTGGGATAGCCATTACAACCAAAGCTATGGTTAAAAGAGAAGATAAGCAACCCCCCCTTCCCCCCCTCTAGCTGCACTACTCACCCCATTGCAACGCGGTCTTAGGATGATTAACTGGCGCCACGTCACACCCAAAAGCCTATAGCTCAGTGGGTACAACACCCATGAACTGTTGAAATACAGACCAGAGTTCGAATCCAGATGATGGTACATGACTGATGAGTAAAACCAAATATTTGAATATTTCTGAATTGCCTGAATTGCCTGAATTGCCTGAATTGCCTGGGGCCGGTCAGCTCAAATGATAATATCTCAAGGCCATCACAATTTGGGAAAAATAGGGCAAAGTGGCCGTTTTCCCAAACTCCTAAAAATTCGGAGGCCGAGCCCGACGACGGCTGCCATTGATAAATCTGATCGGTGGCCGTCGTTTCGGTTCAGCCTCCAAAAGGGTCGGAGGCCCACCCGAGGCCCGCTATTTTCCTACGTGGCAAAGCAATTCATAATTTCAGTAGGGATAAGGAAAGGGTGTGGTGGATGATTACCGAATTACTCTGTGTTGAAAAAAGTAGGGAAGAAGGTTAGAAAGGGTAAAGGATTTGGATGACCTGGGTTTGCTTACCTACTGTAGGACCTGGGACAGGCAATAATCCGACCTGGTACGAACCAGCGTTCACTAATTTCCCAGAAAAGTCCCGGTAGGCCTCGGGAAATATGGGACTGGACCAGAACCGGTATTCATGGGATCGGTAGTGGTCCAGGGATTCAAGGAGTTCGGGGAAATGAGTGAGTTAGAGGATTTGGGCGGAGAAAGAGCCGGTCGGCTGAATTGACGTAGGTACCAATAGTATGAATAGATAGAGTGTGTTGGTCAGACTCCCTGTGCACCTCGCCGGCGAGCGCACCACAAAGTGGATTGATGGCGGAAATATCTTAATGGTAGAGTATAGCCTTGCCAAGGCTAAGGTTGAGGGTTCAAATCCCTTTTTCAGCTCGTCAGCTTCCTTCGCTGCCTGGCCAAGAAAAGAATGGAGCCGACACCACCCCACCCTGGGGTGGGTGGGTGGGAAAGATGAACGCTTCGCGGCGGTTGTGTCACCAGAGGCCACGAAGTGGGAGAAAGTGGTTAATGCAGATTTAAAGCGTCATTTAGGTAAATACATATTAGAATAGTAAAAACATAGGCTTGTAATACAGCAACACCTAACTCTATGCTCGGAGTCAGTAGCGGACGGGAACGGTGTGGGGTACCGTGTCTCGCGGTTGCCATGGTCGAGTGAAGGATGGGGGTGTCTGCACTGGCATTTAGCTTGAGCTTCAAGGAGTTGTCACGAGCTTTTCTGGTACGGATGATAATCATTTGTTTTGTTTGCTAATGCTTACAGCCATGAGCTGTCTCGCATGTTATGCGTTTGGCATGATTTCAGTGTGACTCAGTGTGACATGATTTCATTGCTACGCGGCAAAGGTACTAGTAGTCTGGTGGTTTAAAAAAAAAAAAAAAAAAAAGAAGAAGAAGAAGAAGAAAAAAAAAGGATCAGTAACGCCACTGCACTTGTTCAGCTCTTCTGACAATTCCGCATGTCAAAACAATCACAAAGTGGGCGCATTGAATGTTCACTCCGAAACCGGCAGTTTCCCCCGCCGCCTGCAACAGAAGGTTCATGGTGGGAGCTGTTGAGCTGTCAACACGCGGGGCGAGTTTTGTCAAAGGGCTTCGGTGCACTACTCTCCAAATGCACATAATGAGAATGAATCTTCCGCTAGAACATGGAAAGATGCACCGCCATATTTTTTGTCTTTTGTGCATGTGGCGAGCAGTGCAGCGAGGCCCAAAGTCTCAATGCTCGGTCTGCACATTTTTGTCCTGACCTTCTCACCCCAGAGCAATGTGAATTTCCAGCAATGGATCACGCAAGCCTGGATGGTATTCCAGGCCAGATTCATGCTCCTGTAGTTATATTGCACGGGCAGTTGCCCTGCAGTGAGGGATCATGGGGTGAGTGACCCGCCGCACAACACTCCCCCCCCCCCGCTGCAGCTGTCTTGATACTGCCCGGGGTGCGTGAACTTTCGGGGTGTGTGCGAGCAGCTGCCAGGGGTTAGCATGAGTAACTACTCGGTGCAGAGTACTCTCCCAGCAACGTGGGCTTGGGCTTGGGCTTCTGGTGAAGCGAGGCCCTAAGAGTGAGCCAGCCATACCTTTCCTTGTCATTGCTATTGTCACGCCGGGGTCGGTGATCTGCCACACACAACCCCCACCCCGCTGTAGCAGTCTCGATACTCCACGGGCAGCAGGGTGTGTGAACTTGTGGGCTGACGGTGTTTAATGGCCAGGTGTTGAGGTGAGTAATCTACTACTAATCACTGGGGGAGGAGTACCCGCCCCATAAGTCGGGGTGGGGTGAGTTGTACAGCAAGGCACTAAGGGTGAACTGATCATAACTTCCGTTGTCTTTTTTCTTTTGCCATTTGTGTTTTAAACTTTTACATCTTTTTTTTTCTTTTTTTTTTTTTAAGAAAAAAAAGCAGGGCTACGGCCTCTTGAGATACCCTCATTTGATAGGACCGGCACTGCGGGTAGGTAATTCAGAATTGCATTATTTAAATTTATTTTACTCATCTGCTTCTAGTGGAGTTTGAACTCTGCACCTGGTCTGTATTTCAACAGTTCGTTCAGGGGTGTAGCAACTGAGAAGAGGGCAGTTGGTGATTTTTTTTTTTTTTTTTTTTTTTTTTTTTGAAGGTGCTGCGGGTTTTTTTTTTTTTTTTTTTTTTTTTTTAAAAAAAATAATAATAATAATAATTTTTAATTTTTATTTTTTTTTTTTTTTTTTTTTTTTTTTCAGTTGGTGATTTTCATTTGTGGGCATTCTCATGTTTTTGGCATACTTGTGGCGCAGTGCTGCGCGGACCCGAGGTGCGCGCGCACCGGGGCCCGCCGCGCATCTGGGTGCGCAGTGCGCGCTGCGCTCCGCACGTCTGGTGTGCTGCGCGCGTGTGTGCAATGTATATTTCCATGTTCTAGCGGTAGATTCATTCGATTTTGCTCATCCTCATCCTATCAATGGAAGGACCAGGAGTCCAGCCGCGAGGTTGGAGACTTACCTGCTCTCTCTCTCTCTCTCTCTCTCTCTCTCTCTCTCTCTCTCTCTCTCTCTCTCTCTCT